CCTTCCTCCTCCCTCCCTCCTTCCTTCCTCCTCCCTCCCCTCCTTCCTTCCTCCTCCCTCCCTCCTCCCTCCATCCTTCCTTCCTCCTCCCTCCTCTCCTCCTCCTCCCTCCCTCCTTCCTCCTCCCTCCCTCCTTCCTCCTCCCTCCCTCCTTCCTCCTCCCTCCCTCCTTCCCTCCTCCCTCCCTCCTTCCTCCTCCTCCCCCCTCCCTCCTCCTCACTCCTTCCTCCTCCCTCCTTCCTTTTCCCTCCTTCCTCCCCTCCTCCCTCCTTCCTTCCTCTTCCTCCTCCTTCCCTCCTCCTCCTTCCTTCCTCCTCCTCCTCCTTCCTCTCCTCCTCTTCTTCCTCCTCCTTCCTCCTCTTCCTTCCCCTCTCTTTCCTCCTCTCTCCCTCCTCTTCCCTCTTCTCCTCCTCCTCTTCTTCCTCCTCCTCTTCCTTCTCCTCCTCTCCTTCCTTCCTCCTCCTCTTCCTCCTCCTCCTCTTCCTCCTCCTCCTCTTCCTCCTCCTCTTCCTCCCTCCTCTTCTTCCTCCTCCTCTTCTTCCTCCTCCTCCTCTTCCTCTTCTCCTCCTCCTCTTCCTCCTCTCCTCCTCCTCCTCTCTTTCCTCCTCTCTTCTTCCTCCTCCTCTTCTCTCCCCTCCTCCTCCTTCTCCTCTCCTCCTCTTCTTCTCTTCCTCCTCCTTCTTCCTCCTCCTCTTCTTCCTCTCTCCCTCCTCTTTTTCCTCCTCCTCTTCTTTCCTCCTCCTCTTCTTCCTCTCCTCCTCTTCTTCCTCCTCCTCTTCCTCCTCCTTCCCTCCTCCTCTCCTCCTCCTCCTCCTCTTCCTCCTCCTCTTCTCCTCCTCCTCCTCTCTCCTCCTCCTCCACCTCCTCCATTGCTTTTGGTCTCAAACTCCTCGAAATCATGAAATTGATCTTCATTGACACTTCCATCTGTGTCAGAGCATCACTTGGGAAGAGAAGAGTCCCAGATTTGCTGGGAAGTCACATATTTCTTACCGCTAGACATGCTGAAAAAGGACAACTGAAATGGTATTCCCACAATGCACCACTGGCTCCCCGATTTTTTTTCTATTTTTTTTATACGGTGCACACTGACCATGGAGACCCATTCTCTCACATGTGGGCCTACCAGCTTTCTCCTGCTTGATTTGAAGCCGCTAGAATTTATGCGTATAGATACGTCAAACACGGTATCTCCTATGACTTACATATACGACCGCGACAGTCAAAGGGTTAAATTAAGTGAAATGCAATTAATCCATTCCAGTGGAATTTTGTACTTCAATAATATCCCTAATATCAACTCTACGGCTTATTTATCTATCACAATTCATCTAATATGACAAACTATACAGATAACATAGAAACTTGATATATACATGTACTCTAGAAATGAATAAAATGTCATTCATGTAGTGGTATCGTCGGTGGATGAGAGTTTGTCTGGAGACCGGACAAAATACTCCTCGAATAATTTCGCTAATATCATCTATACGGCTTATTCTATCACAGTTTATTTAATATGACATAATAAACAAAATAAATAACATAGAAACCTGATATATACTCCAGAATGAATAAAACATGTCATTATGTAACAGGTGGAGGCGGCCACAACCGCTCCCGTTTTGTTGTGGTAAACACTGCCATCTAGTGACGGCCTTTTGAAGCCGTCTATTATTATAATTATTATTATATAGTACATTATTATTATACGTATTATATTAATATTATTATATACCGTTATTATTATATGATTATTATTATTACAGTATTATTATTATATTGTATTATTACAATATAAATAATTTGTAATTTTTATTCATACAAAAATTAGAAGATTTATTATGCCGACTACTGCATTATTGTAATAATTGTATATATAATGTCAACCCATTTACGACTGCATATTGGAATGGACAGTGATGTCATTTGTTTACTCTTTACATCGCCAAAGAATAAAAAATTTCTCCTACTTTGAGCTCAATTTCATGGTACTTTTCGTCGTGACACCAATCAAAATCATATCTATTTCTGTAATATATCTTCCATTCTATCAAACAAGACCAAAAAAATGAGAATACAATCATAAAACTATATGAAAATACCGCTAAGGGGAGGCTAATTGCTGAGAAGTGAACTCCATTATTTATGGTCCGATTTGTTTCATTTTTTGTGTACATTAAGAAGCATCTTTCCATCATACATTGCCCAAGTTTCAATAAGATACTCCAACAAACACATGAGATCCAATTCCCTAGATCAAGAGCAAGAGCCCCTCACCAGCATCAAGGAACCTGCCTTGAGGTCTGCTCACTTATGGAAATTTTGCCCGTGTATGGAAGCAAAAAATTGACCGATCGACTGCTCACATCTGGAAAAACTCACATGTGGATGCACTTGCAAGTAGAGGTTCCACTGTACTAGTGAAATAGCTAAGAATCTGGTCAACTGGAACAATGGAATTGGCCTAAAATCAGACTCAAATTGGATGAAATAGCCGATGCATAAATATCACTAACACAGCAAAATTTGCAAAATCATAATTTCATCAGTTTTCTATCAAATTTTGTACTTTTTGGTTTCAAAAAAGGATTCTCTATCATTTCATTTTTTTTTTTTTAAATTCTGGAACCCTAATTGCAAGTTTGAGAGCAGGGGTCATAATCCTGAGAGCAAGTTTGAGAGCAGGGGTCATAATCCTGAGAGCAAGTTTGAGAGCAGGGGTCATAATCCTGAGAGCAAGTTTGAGAGCAGGGGTCATAATCCTGAGAGCAAGTTTGAGAGCAGGGGTCATAATCCTGAGAGCAAGTTTGAGAGCAGGGTCATAATCCTGAGAGCAAGTTTGAGAGCAGGGGTCATAATCCTGAGAGCAAGTTTGAGAGCAGGGGTCATAATCCTGAGAGCAAGTTTGAGAGCAGGGGTCATAATCCTGAGAGCAAGTTTGAGAGCAGGGGTCATAATCCTGAGAGCAAGTTTGAGAGCAGGGGTCATAATCCTGAGAGCAAGTTTGAGAGCAGGGGTCATAATCCTGAGAGCAAGTTTGAGAGCAGGGGTCATAATCCTGAGAGCAAGTTTGAGAGCAGGGGTCATAATCCTGAGAGCAAGTTTGAGAGCAGGGGTCATAATCCTGAGAGCAAGTTTGAAAGCAGGGGTCATAATCCTGAGAGCAAGTTTGAGAGCAGGGTCATAATCCTGAGAGCAAGTTTGAGAGCAGGGGTCATAATCCTGAGAGCAAGTTTGAGAGCAGGGGTCATAATCCTGAGAGCAAGTTTGAGAGCAGGGGTCATAATCCTGAGAGCAAGTTTGAAAGCAGGGGTCATAATCCTGAGAGCAAGTTTGAGAGCAGGGGTCATAATCCTGAGAGCAAGTTTGAGAGCAGGGGTCATAATCCTGAGAGCAAGTTTGAGAGCAGGGGTCATAATCCTGAGAGCAAGTTTGAGAGCAGGGGTCATAATCCTGAGAGCAAGTTTGAGAGCAGGGGTCATAATCCTGAGAGCAAGTTTGAGAGCAGGGGTCATAATCCTGAGAGCAAGTTTGAGAGCACGGGTCATAATCCTGAGAGCAAGTTTGAAAGCAGGGTCATAATCCTGAGAGCAAGTTGAGAGCAGGGGTCATAATCCTGAGAGCAAGTTTGAAAGCAGGGGTCATAATCCTGAGAGCAAGTTTGAAAGCAGGGGTCATAATCCTGAGAGCAAGTTTGAAAGCAGGGGTCATAATCCTGAGAGCAAGTTTGAAAGCAGGGGTCATAATCCTGAGAGCAAGTTTGAGAGCAGGGGTCATAATCCTGAGAGCAAGTTTGAGGCAGGGTCATAATCCTGAGAGCAAGTTTGAGAGCAGGGGTCATAATCCTGAGAGCAAGTTTGAGAGCAGGGGTCAATCCTGAGAGCAAGTTTGAGAGCAGGGGTCATAATCCAGAGAGCAAGTTTGAAAGCAGGGGTCATAATCCTGAGAGCAAGTTTGAGAGCAGGGGTCATAATCCTGAGAGCAAGTTTGAAAGCAGGGGTCATAATCCTGAGAGCAAGTTTGAGAGCAGGGGTCATAATCCTGAGAGCAAGTTTGAAAGCAGGGGTCATAATCCTGAGAGCAAGTTTGAAAGCAGGGGTCATAATCCTGAGAGCAATTTTTGAAAGCAGGGGTCATAATCCTGAGAGCAAGTTTGAAAGCAGGGGTCATAATCCTGAGAGCAAGTTTGAAAGCAGGGGTCATAATCCTGAGAGCAAGTTTGAAAGCAGGGGTCATAATCCTGAGAGCAAGTTTGAAAGCAGGGGTCATAATCCTGAGAGCAAGTTTGAAAGCAGGGGTCATAATCCTGAGAGCAAGTTTGAGAGCAGGGTCATAATCCTGAGAGCAAGTTTGAAAGCAGGGTCATAATCCTGAGAGCAAGTTTGAAAGCAGGGGTCATAATCCTGAGAGCAAGTTTGAGAGCAGGGGTCATAATCCTGAGAGCAAGTTTGAAAGCAGGGGTCATAATCCTGAGAGCAAGTTTGAAAGCAGGGGTCCATAATCCTGAGAGCAAGTTTGAAAGCAGGGGTCATAATCCTGAGAGCAAGTTTGAGAGCGGGGGTCATAATCCTGAGAGCAAGTTTGAAAGCAGGGGTCATAATCCTGAGAGCAAGTTTGAAAGCAGGGGTCATAATCCTGAGAGCAAGTTTGAAAGCAGGGGTCATAATCCTGAGAGCAAGTTTGAGAGCAGGGGTCATAATCCTGAGAGCAAGTTTGAGAGCAGGGGTCATAATCCTGAGAGCAAGTTTGAGAGCAGGGGTCGCAACCCTGAAAAGATTAAATTGGAAAACAAGGACATACTTTTTGATGACAATTCAAAACCTTGTTTTACTAAGATCCCCACTATTTAGAGATTGATACTACAAAGAAGCTTTCACCAATTATACAGAAACAGAAATAAGCAGAAAAAACTAAGGACAACCATTATACTATACATATTACCACCAGGGTAGAAATAACCATTTTTATCCTTATTAAGGAACCAGCTTAAGAAATACCTTAGATAGGCTCCTTCACCACGAGACCATCCAGAGAGCACCAGGAGAACAGATGATGTCTTGGCATCTTCATTTGTACTACTGCATGTAAACATTCCGTTAATAAGGTTGCTGTCCATTTTCTAGAAATAAAGGATACACAAATTTTGTTATTAATGCATAAATAAATAAATAATATACAGCCTCTCCTCACTTAGTGACATTCTCATTTACTTATGACTCGGACTTATGATGGGCTCTCTGATCAGTATGCATACCTAAATAATGTACAGTAGACCCTCGACTAACGCTATTAATCCATTCCTGAGAGCTCATCGTTAGTCAAAATTATCGTTAGTCAAGTTAATTTTCTCCATAAGAAATAATGGAAATCAAATTAATCCGTGTAGGACACCCCAAAGTATGAAAAAAAATTTGTTTTTACCACATGAAATATTAATTTTAATACACACAAACAGAAGAAGACATGCACAGTTACATGACACTTACCTTTATTGAAGATCTGGTGATGATTGATGGGATGGGAGGTGGGGAGTGTTGATGGTCTTAGTGTTTAGAAGGGGAATCCCCTTCCATTAGGACTTGAGGTGGCAAGTCCTTTTCCGGGGTTACTTCCCTTCCCTTTAAATCTCTCAAACCAACCTTTGCTGGCCTTAAATTCACTCACATCACCACTAGTTGCTGGCATTTTTTTAATTAAATCATCATGCAACTTCCTAGCCTTTTCACATATGATCGCTTGAGAGATGCTATCTCCTGCTATCTGTTTTTCGTTTACCCACACCAATAACAGTCTCTCAACATCTTCGAGTACTTGCGATCTCAGTTTCGAAAACATAGTTGCACCTTTGGCAAGAACAGCTTCCTTGATTGCTGTTTTCTTGGCCACAATAGTAGCGATGGTTGATTGGGATTTTGTGTACAACCTGGCCAGCTCGGAGACACGCACTCAACTTTCATACTTTGCAATGATTTCTTTCTTCATATCCATAGTAATTCTCACCCTTTTTGCTGTAGGGTTGGCACTATTAGTTTTCTTGGGGCCCATGGTGACTTATTTTGCAGGTGCAATCACTAAAAAGGCTGTGATAATACGAAATGTTCCGATTGTATGCTTGGAAGCGACCGCGGTGGCTGGCTGGCTTGCTTGTAAACACTGGCCAGAAGTGGACGCGTCTCAGACGGAACTAATAGTGTTGGTCGAGTTTTTTAGCGCCAGTCGAGGCAAAAATTTTGTGTTAAAATGTATCGCTAGTCGGATTTATCGTTAATCGATGCCATCGTTAGTCGAGGGTCCACTGTATATCAGAGCTGATTTCCTTCATTCTGTTTATTACAATATACAGTGGACCCTCAACATTCGATACTAATCCGTTCCTGAGAGCTATCGAATGTGGAAAATATCGAAAGTTGAATTAATTTTCACCATAAGAAATAATGAAAATCAAATTAATCCGTGAAAGACACCCAAAAGTATGAAAAAAAAAATTTTACCACATGAAATATTAAGTTTAATGCAATAAAATAATTACAATAACAGCAATAACAATACATTAATAACAACAGAATAATTGACACTTACCTTTAATGAAGATCTGGTGATGATTGATTGGATGGGAGGAGGGGAGTGTGTCAAGGTTGTTACTGTTTAGAAGGGAAATCCCCTTCCATTAGGACTTGAGGTAGCAAGTCCTTTTCTGGGGTTACCTCCCTTCTTCTTTTAATGCCACTAGGACCAGCTTCAGAGTCACTGGACTTGTGTCGCACAACATATCTGTCCATAGAGGCCTGTACCTCTCGTTCCTTTATGACATTCCTAAAGTGGTTCACAACATTGTCAGTGTACAGGTTGCCAACACAGCTTGCAGTAGCTGTGTGAGGGTGATTTTCATCAAAAAAGGTTTGCACTTCAAGCCACTTTGCACACATTTCCTTAATCTTTGAAGAAGGCAACTTCTTCAATTTCTCTATCCCCTCCTCCGAAGCAGTTTCCTCAGGTTTGGCCTCTTGCTGTTGAAGATGATCTAGCAGCTCATCAGTGGTTAGTTCGTCATTGTCCTCCTCCACCAACTCTTCCACATCCTCTCCACTAACCTCCAACCCCAAGGACTTCCCCAATGCCACAATGGATTCCTCAACTGGCATAGGATTCTCAGGGTTAGCCTCAAACCCTTCAAAATCCCTCTTGTCTACACATTCTGGCCACAGTTTTTTCCAAGCAGAGTTCAAGGTCCTCTTAGTCACTTCCTCCCAAGCCTTACCTATAAGGTTTATACAACTGAAGATATTAAAGTGATCCTTCCAAAACTCTTTTAGAGTCAGCTGAGTTTCTGAGGTCACTACAAAGCACTTTTGAAACATAGCTTTTGTGTACAGTTTCTTGAAGTTGGAAATGACCTGCTGGTCCATGGGCTGCAGGAGAGGAGTGGTATTAGGAGGTAAAAACTTCACCTTAATGAAGCTCTTCTCCCCAGAAAGTTGCTCTGCCATGTCTGAAGGATGACCAGGGGCATTGTCTAATACTAGGAGGCACTTAAGGTCTAATTTCTTTTCAGTTAGGTAATTTTTCACAGTGGGGGCAAATGCATGGCGTAACCAGTCATAGAAAAAGTCCCTAGTGACCCATGCCTGTTTGCCCTCCACAGCACACATAAATTAGCCTTGAGGACATACTTTTGCCTGAACACACTGGGAGTTTCAGAGTGATACACCAATAAAGGCTTCACTTTGCAATCACCACTAGCATTGGCACACATTAACAGAGTAAGCCTGTCTTTCATAGGCTTATGTCCTGGGAGTGCCTTTTCCTCCTGAGTAATGTAAGTCCTGCTTGGCAATTTCTTCCAAAACAGGCCTGTTTCATCACAGTTAAACACTTGTTCAGGTTTCAATCCTTCAGCTCTATGTACTCCTTGAATTCATGCATATTTTTCAGCCACATTGTGGTCCGAACTGGCAGCCTTACCATGCCTTATCACACTATGTATGCCACTACGATTCTTAAATCTTTCAAACCAACCTTTGCTGGCCTTAAAGTCACTCGCATCAGCACTAGTTGCAGGCAATTTCTTTACCAAATCATCATGCAACTGCCTAGCCTTTTCATAAATGATCACTTGAGAGATGCTATCTCCTGCTATCTGTTTTTCATTTTTTTTTTTATTAACACACTGGCCGATTCCCACCAAGGCAGGGTGGCCCGAAAAAGAAAAACTTTCACCATCATTCACTCCATCACTGTCTTGCCAGAAGGGTGCTTTACACTACAGTTTTTAAATGGCAACATTAACACCCCTCCTTCAGAGGGCAGGCACTGTACTTCCCATCTCCAGGACTCAAGTCCGTCCTGCCGGTTTCCCTGAATCCCTTCATAAATGTTACTTTGCTCACACTCCAACAGCACGTCATTTATCCACACCAATAACAGTCTCTCAACATCTTCTAACATTAGCGATCTCTGTTTCGAAAACAAAGTTACACCTTTTGCAACAACAGCTTCCTTGATTGCCGTTTTCCTGCTCACTACAGTAGAGATGGTTGATTGGGGTTTACTATACAACCTGGCCAGCTCCGACACACGCACTCCACTTTCGTACTTTGAAATTTATCTCTTCTTCATTTAAATAGTCATTAGTGCCTTTTTTCTCGAAGGCTTGGTACTAGAAGCTTTTTTGGGGCCCATGGTTACTTATTTTGCAGAAACAAGCACCAAAAATAGTGATAATATGGAATGTACCGAATGTATCCTTAGATGCGCGCACACTGGCTGGCTTGTAAACACTGGCACTCACGGTGCAGTTCAGGCCACACGTGGACACGTCTCATACGAAACGAGATGAATCGCATCGAATGTCGGGTTTTCCATCGAATGTCGAGGCGAAATTTTTGCGTTAAAATGCATCGAATGTCGGATTTATCGAATGTCGATGCCATCAAATGTCGGGGGTCCACTGTACAGTACACTACTGTATAAACATTTAAAAATATACCCAAAATGTTATAAATGGTGCAAAGGTGATATTAAAACAATATTAAAGATGGTTGATAGAATCCCACTACCATCATAGTATGCTCCTCACTTATTAAAGTTAGCAATAGAATTAGGCATTAAAAAACAATAAAAAAGTAAAATACACACATAGTACACTCATTACTTAGCTTAAAATATTTGTAGTCTTACTCTAGGGTGAGATGAGTAGTATTTATTTTAAGAAATCAAGTGTGGTATGTATGGTAGTCAGCCAGGCTACCATAACAGGCCAACCCACCCACACATAATATTCTATGACATTTAATCCCTAAACGGTCCAAACGTATATTATTTTTTTTTTTTTTTTTTTATTAATCACACTGGCCGATTCCCACCAAGGAAGGGTGGCCCGAAAAAGAAAAACTTTCACCATCATTCACTCCATCACTGTCTTGCCAGAAGGGTGCTTTACACTACAGTTTTTAAACTGCAACATTAACACCCCTCCTTCAGAGTGCAGGCACTGTACTTCCCATCTCCAGGACTCAAGTCCGGCCTGCCGGTTTCCCTGAACCCCTTCATAAATGTTACTTTGCTCACACTCCAACAGCACGTCAAGTATTAAAAACCATTTGTCTCCATTCACTCCTATCAAACACGCTCATGCATGCCTCTGAAGTCCAAGCCCCTCGCACACAAAACCTCCTTTACCCCCCCCCTCCAACCTTTCCTAGGCCGACCCCCACCCCGCCTTCCTTCCACTACAGACTGATACACTCTTGAAGTTATTCTGTTTCGCTCCATTCTCTCACATGTCCGAACCACCTCAACAACCCTTCCTCAGCCCTCTGGACAACAGTTTTGGTAATCCCGCACCTCCTCCTAACTTCCAAACTACGAATTCTCTGCATTATAAATTCACACCACACATTGCCCTCAGACATGACATCTCCACTGCCTCCAGCCTTCTCCTCGCTGCAACCACGGTGACATCACACATCCTTGTCTAAGGCCTACTTTTACTGGGAAATAATTTCCCTCTTTCCTACATACTCTAACTTGAGCCTCACTATCCTCGTAAAAACCTTTTACTGCTTTCAGTAACCTACCCCCTACACCATCACCTGCAACATCTCCACATTGCCCCCCACC